CATAATCTAGATTTCTGTAAAAACACACATGTAGGCCATTATAGCAGATTGAAAGAGGGGCAGAATAAGAGCATGTGCCATTAAAAAACAGTATGTGTCCCATCTCTGGAAAGGATTGATGACTTTTGCCACAGTTTCGGTATTTATCATCCTTTTGTAGCCTTTCTGTTGAGAAAGCAGCAGGAGGAGGTTGTGCGTACAAATTTGTGCGTATTGTAGGTAGTAATCTGCCTTATCTTGCAAAATGTTATTACAATATAAAATAATGGTTTCTATTTTAATATCCTTTAAAATATAATTTATTGCACTGTCTGCGAAAAGTGAGATGTCACGCCAAGGCAAAAGGCAGTAGCTTCCACATTACATGCAATATTTGGGTGCTGATCACCATTTACAGAATCATTATAGTAACATCTGTATAAAATCTAGTGATCATTGGCTAGGCTATAACATATAGTAATGTAATTAAAAAAAATTTCTGACCGTAACAACCAGACAAAAAGTTAGCAGGAATAATGCTCAGAATGATTGTGAATTAAACATCTCTGATGACGTTCATTCCAATGTTTTTTATCGAGTTACAAGAAAAGGTTAATTGCGTACAGTAACTGATTTTATGTGATACGCTGTCATGCCATTCGACTCCTCACACGTGCAGAAGTGCAGCCCTAGACTGAGAGTTGGCATCTGCATTATAAAAAGAAAAAAATCTTTAAAGATTATTTACGATTAATTATTGTTGCCAAGTTATCTAGTCGTTGCTTGTTTACAGTGCTTTGTTATATGGAGCAGTTTGGTAGATCGCAATCTATCTAATTTGTTTGTCTAATGAAGTGCTTCAGCGACAGATGTATGAAAGTACACAAGTTACACCGTAATTTAAACAAAGCAGATTTTAATGGACATTAAAACAAAGGCAGAATACCGTATAACCCCAAACACAGTAACTTCATATTGACGCACGGTTAAACAAAGGCAGAGTATCGTAATTCAATTTGAGCGTTCCAAAGCAAAGTCAAAGAGCGGTAACTGGTGTTATATGGAGTTCTGTCTGGGTTTCTCATGGGCTTTTGGAAGTTACTGTTAAGACAACCCATTATTTTCTAGGAAAAAAACAACGAAATTGATTCAAGACACTTAACCACAGGCTGGCACAGTAATATTGACGAACGGCTAAACAAATGCAGAGCACCGTAACTTAATTTGAGCATTCTAAAACAAAGTCAAAGAGCGGTAACTGATGATACTGTGTTCTGCCTTGGTTTCTCCTGGGCTTTTCTCCAAGATACTTATACACATGATAAATGAGGTCATATATGTCCCAAAATTATCAATAACTAATTTTGACCAAAAACGAAGTTATGGTGTTTTGTCTTTGCATGGCAGCACTGCCGTCACCATAGACGGGCGTGGTTTCAGCAACTAGCGCCTCAGCTTCACCCACGTCCCACCTTTTTGCCCATTTTCGATTATCCGAGAGTGACGTGTGGTGACGCGCTGCCAAGATGGCGGCGGTCGGCTCCGCCCACTTTAGGCTTCAAAAATGCTCTTCTACATCCCGCCATTTTTGCCCATTTTCGATTATCCGGGAGTGACGCGCTGCCAAGATGGCGGCGGTCGGCTACGCCCACTTTAGGCTTCAAAAATGCTCTTCTGGGGCCTCATTTATAAAATGCTGTGTATAAACCGTCCTAAATTTGTTCGAAGATCATTTCTCAAAAGTGTAAGTGCGATTCAGAGAAAACGAACGTGCGCACAAAAACACGTGCGTACGCCTCTCTTCCAGATGTGACATTAATAAATCGCAAATGATCTTAAAATTGTGTGTCAGATCTCCGCCTTGTAAACGCCCCCTAATTAATATCATTACCATATAAAAGAGCACACGCCAATTTCTAAAAAGTTTAATATCACGAAATTCTTGCAAAACTTTAAAAAAAATTATTGAAAGAAAAATTGGACGTTTCATATCCTAATAAAATAAATGATTACACAATTATGGTCTCCACTCTGAAAAAACCTGCATGTGATTTGGCATTTCTTTATATTTACACAGTTTACTAATGCTGCTCAAATGTGCTTAACAATGTTATTGAATAGAATATATTAAAAACCGTTATTGCAAGACATAGGCGTATTCTTAGGCTACACAGACAAAAAAGTCGGAGATGCGTTTATGCATTTTTTTGTTCTATTTTACGCATTAGTAGTAAAACAAGACTTTACAAGTCCTCTTGTAAAATAAAATAATAATAAAAAAAAAAAAACATGGAATAAACGGTGTACAGAAACTCTCAACATTGGGCTACTAAAAAGGTCAGTTTAATCTCGCAAAAACTCCCATTAATAAACAATCTGGCTACACTGCACAATTAATCTCTCACACTGCATCTCTGTTGTTTATGATGAATTCGGTGCTTACATGTACACCGCTTTCATTATTATTGCAGCTTAGATGTTCAAATAGCTGCAGTACTCCGACTTTGCCACAAGGAAAAGTGCGTACGCCTGTTCAGACCCTGACGTGACAGTAAGTACTTTTCCACGTCAAAGACCGTTTTAATAAATATGAACATTGCCGTGGACGTGGATTTTAGCGTACGCACACTCTAAGATCAAATCTGTGAGTACGCACATTTTATAAATGAGGCCCCTGAACCCTACGAGTGACGTCATGGACACTACGTCCATGTTTTTTTTACAGTCTATGGGAGAAACACACCACAGACCTTGATGCATTTTTCACAATATACCTTTATTATCTTAATAAATACCAAAAAAAACAACAACACTGTGATGTTTAAAGAAACAAGTATTAAAAAAGACACTAAAATGCATTAGACATTAGACATATCAATATTAATTTTGGTATGTTCTGTAAGTGACATCTTTGTCTTATGGACATTTAATGTACCGGCATGTTTTCAGATGGAAGAGAACAGAAAGGAAATCCACTGTCGACAGGGCCAAAAAGGAAGAGAGAGCATAGCAATCCATCAGGTACAAGGGGTGGAGAAATGATTCAATAGCGAACATGGAATGAACTCTCTTACGTGAGGATGCATATGAATATATACATTTATATACACCCACATCAACACCACCAATATAGATGTAAAATCACCTGAGATACTCGTTCGCACCTCATTATTCCAAACAGCTGGACACTACTAGCATTGAAATGATGTGAATTCCGAGAGAAAGACACGGGACGTTGGCCCGGTTTGGGAGAGCTCTCCTCAGTAACGTACAAAAAACGAAGACGGAAATAACGAAAGAAAACAGTCATTTCACCAGTAACTCCTGAAGTTTCCACAGTAAAAATATCCTTTTTGAGCAGCCTTTTGTAAATTTTGTTTTTATAATATATTTATATATGTAAAATTTCATCAAGAAAAAAGAACCAACTGGACTGTTCGATAAATGTATTGTAATGTAGTGGCCAAAGACAGTGGAAATGTTTTCTGGAGGTCTGACTGACGTTTTACAGCACACACCGAGGACGTGGAAAAATCATTCGACCACTATGCCTTAGCGATCATGTGAGAGATATTGCCGTATTTTTGCAAAGTCAAATGCATAATGTTATTGGCTTTAGCTTGATAGTCATTTTGAGACTTCCGCATGTGATTACAGGACGAATATCTGAATCAAGATACCAATGAATGTGGATTTATGGATCATAGTGATTCAGTGCCCTGCATAGGTCAAGTAGAACTTGAAAACAAGGCTTTGGGACATTGTCAGAAATATAAAAACAAGATACATTAAGTGCTCAACGAAAACTTTAAATTAAGTTACCTGAATTTATTCTCCACTCGTGATTTAAGACAGAATCTCAAGACAAGCACGGGAACTGACATCTACAAGACCTCTAGAGTAAGGCAGAAGCCTTATGGGAAGGCAGGGGCATTGTAGTCTTGTTCATATGGCTTTTAAATGACTCACTTTTCAAGTGCTTGTAATCAAATTTTGAGCGGTGATCAAAAAATTAAAAAGCCCAATTGAACCCTAAGCCCAAAGTGATCTATTCACATCCAAACGTTAGCCAAGCTGGTGTCTATTAATTTTGCTATGCTCAGATGGATCAAATTAAATACTAAATGCAAAACAAAAGCAAGCGGCAAAAAGTGAGCAGGGGAAGAGGCAAAGTTGGTACCTGTAGTCCAATGTAGTTCAAATATCTGGCCTAAATATGTTCCAGTTGGACCAAGTGGACTAGACTGAGTAATATCACCTAGTAGGGACAGCTTGATGTGTTGAAAATAGAACCACTTAGGATAAATTTCCCTGCAAACCGTTTCCCAACCCATCTGTGACTATTTCCAGCACGGAGAGGATCTGGTTCCTCTCGCAGAAACCCCACTGCCGAAAGTTCCTAACTCATTTCATCAGAACTGTAAGTCTTACCGCCGGCATAGATGCTGGCATATCTTAATATATCTCTGTACATGGTTATATATTTTCTTATCTCTAGTTACAGTACAGAAACTTCCCTTCACATTTCCTTTCCTCCAATTCTCCATGTCAGCAGGAGCTATGGTTTTGTGCTTATCACCAAAATTGCAGTGCAAAAGAAAATAATTAATTATAATAATGACAACAATTAATTCATGAGAAATATTAACAAATGATGGATGACAACATAATTTCTATGGCACCACAGCCCATCAATTCACATATCGTACAAACGACCAACAGCGTAAGAGGGAGGAGAGTGCAGAAACAGAACTCGGCTTGCATAGCAATGCAATAACAATAATGTCATTTTCCATCTCCGATGTCAAGAATATATTTACAGGAAACTTGATTTCCTTTTCACAAGTTCACCAAAGCTGGGCGACTCAGATCTCAGGCCTTCCATAGTTCTTTTTATTTTGTCCTCAACATTTTTATTTTTTCTGTGAATGAATAGTTTAAGGAGGAAGGTGAGGGATGTTGCGGATCTTGTGGGTTGCATGTCCATCTTTACATCACATTTACAGTTTGTCCTTTTCATATTTTTTTCCTTCTTCCTTCCAACGTTTCACGAGTTCATTGCACCAAGCAGGTGAGGCATTTCCAGAACAGATAAAGGCATTCTTCAGTTTCCATCAAAAAGGCTCACTCTGTAAACAATAGAAAGAGAACATGCCAGTCAGTTAGTTTTTTTATACAGCTCTAGAAAAGGTAAACCAGCAATACGACCAGAAAACATCAAAGTTCCAAACTTAAGAGTTGTACCAGAATAACCTGTTCAGACTCACATAACTCTCCAGAGTACTGCGTGTTGGTCCCCATGTAGCTGCTTTCACCCTGCTCCGTGGTGGAGCGCTGGTGCTGTCCCCTCGTCCCTTCACCTTTACGAGAACCCGTTGACCCTTTAGAAGAGGCCGTCCCAGATGAGCTGTGGCCCCCAGGAGATGGGAATGATGGTTTGTTGTATGGCAATATGGCCTCTTCTGAAATCATACAAATATCCAAACCATACATTTAATGGCAATTAAAATTGTTTTAGCTTTTCCAGTTTGGAACATGTTCATGATTGGTTTCTTTCTGACTAATACCGAGGTGACCAACTCTTGGCAGCTTTGACCAAACCCTACTCATTAGTAATATGCTCCAATGGCTAAACGATTCTCCACACCGAAGTTTAATATGAAAATGAAGACATATGAGACCAAACCATACAGGTTGCCCAACCCACATCCCCCTTTGTGTCGAGCCAGATCCAGGCCTGGTTCTTTATGCTTCGTTTGGGCTGGAAACCCAAAATGGTGGATCCTAATGATCAGACAGGCACAGATGAAGCTCGGCTTCATTGCAGCGTGTGTGTGTATACAGTGAAAAATGAGGGCTGGAACGATTAGGGTACATCTGTGCAGCTAAGTGTGCCTCCTGTCTGCTGGTTCCTGGAGAAGGCCGGTGTTGGCCATGGAAGAGCTCACTAAGAGGGGGAGACAAGGCAATCTGTTTGCTCCAGCTTGGCTTCCTTACAGCAGGGACCATAAATGAACGCCAAGGGTCCACAGCTGGTGCTGTCAAACATCTGCCTCTGATGACCACGATAGCAAGATAATATTTTACAGACCTGCTCTGCTGAATTAAGAGTGTTTACTATGCCAGATTGATTCAACTCATGTGGACATGTAAGATCACGTTCAGGTCTTTCATAAAAACATATTTCATATTTTATGTCATTTAAAAGGAAGTCAAAACCCCAAGAGGCAATTTCTGCTGAAGACTTGGGCCAGGCTGATTAGAGATAGCTTGGTGCTGGTCTACTTTGGAAGCTGATTGACCAAAATGTCTTTCTGGAAATGAGTGTTGACTAAGGACATCTTGGTGCTGAAGACCAAGTCCAGTCTTAAGTTGGGTAGCACAAGTTTGGTGTTGGCCTAGTTTTTTGCTGGTCTAGTTGGTGAACCATTAAAATTTTGGAAGCTGGTTGACCAAAATGTCTTTCTGGACAAGCTGGTTGACTAAGGAAGTCTTGGTGCTGAAGGCCAAGTTTAAAATTAAGCTGTTTAGCACTAGTTTGGTGTTGGCCTAACTCAGTGGTGTCCAGTCCTGCACCTTGAGGGCCACCTTCCAGACTTTAGTTTCAACATACCTGACAAGAAGTTTCTATCCCTCTTGATTGGTTTAGATGTATTATTTAGGGTTGGAGCTGAACACTGCAGGACTTTGGCCCTCCAGGAGCAGGACAGGACAGCTGTGGCCTAGCTGATGAACAGCCTGGCTATGCTGGTTTGGATTCTTGGAAGCTGGTTGATAAAGAACTCCTTGGTGTACAAGTTACTACCTAACTAGTATCACCTGTTTGGAACCAATATTCAAAATCTAACACTGATTCTAGTGTGGTTTCTCCTTTATGTCTCATTTTAAGACCTCAATGTGTAAAGAGAGTTTAAGGTAAACCGTCCATCATCCTACCTGAAACAGGACCATTTTTCTGTCCTCTTCTGCTCTCTTCTCCTCTATCTATGGATCCCAGTCTATCCTGGGCATGTTGGTGGCGCTCCAGTGAGGTTCGGGCCTGCCGGTCCAAGGAACTCTTCATCTCCTCTAGGCCCATCATGGGTTGCCTCTCCAAGGAGCAAGCCTTGCGGTCAGAGGGGTTGGGCACGTTCCTCACCCCCTGGACACGAGCTGTCTGGCAGGGTGGAGGCTCTGGTGGTGGAGGCAGATCTGGGAAAGAAGCAGGAAGGACCATTTGAATTCAAACAATAGGTATGGCATTTCCATTTATGTACATTGTACATTTATCATCATTTGACATTAGGTGTCTTTTGTGTCTACATAAATGCCCTCAAAAGGGTAATATTGATTTCATTCTGTTTGATAAATTATTATAATGGCTTGGATATTAGCTATTGCTACATGCATTTGCTTATGACCCCAACTGTCTCCTTTAACCAATGCTGACTTTCACATTAATTCAATAAAACATGCAAGAGAGATCTGCTATCTACTGTAAATCGGTTTTTGGCCTTCAAAAGTGGTCTAAACCAAATTAATGAATCTGTGTGTCATTGCATACATAATTCATTAACTGAAATATTCAGTATTTTTGGTTTTTGTCTTCATGGATTAAATTGATCTAAACTAAACCAGGCTTTGGAATTATCTGTTAAGTAAAAACTGGACTAAACCTTACCATCAGCGCTGGCATCACGGCGGTGCGGGGCAGTGCCAGGGCCTTTGTGTTTGCGGGTGGGCCTTGCTGCCCGCTGGTGACCCAGGCTGTGTGTGCCCACCGTGCTTCCATCTGTGGAGAATGGGCTAGCGGGACGAGGTCTATGAGGTAGACCTTTATCTGCAGGGAGCAAAGAGAGAACTTTGGTTAGCCCATAATGTTATCGAAACGCTACTCACAGAGATGATAAACGAATCTTGAAAGGGAAGCATGGCAGGATGTTCAGGAGGAGGGCGGATAGCTTGTTAGTTTGATTCAGAAGCAGCAGAATCAATCAATACATTTCATTTCTATTGCAAAGCCTGTTGGAGAAAAGGTTTAAGATTGTAGAAATGGTTTTATGAAGATCATTATGGAGTCAGAAAGAGGCATGAAGTCAAACCTGAAGTGCATAATTAAAGAATCTGAAGACATCAGCGCCAGATCTGTTTCCAGTTAATTCATTCCCTTGCAGTGTAAACCGAATCGCTTCACTGAAAGCGTAAGACCAAAACCCTGCTAAGTGAAAACAGCCGTCTGCAACACCAAGCAAATCCATAAAGATGTTAGTATTTACACCGCACTGCTTCACTAAGAGTACACCAACGTAAAATCAGAAAGCAGAAAAGAAGCATCATTCTGTTAAGAGTGAGCCAAATTGCAGTTAGCAAACACCAGACTTCCAGACTCGAATTCCTGTTTCCTCCAAACCGACCTCTCTTGCTCAAACTTGTGCCGTCCAGACGGTAACCAGCCTTGTCTGCGGCCGCCACCAGAGCTCGTGCAAAGCTGCACTGGGTGAAGAGTGAGCCGTCAGAGGAGCTGCCGGCACTAGACCTTCTGCTGGAGAAGTTTCTGTCATCATCTTCTGAAGCCGAGCCCCAACCGTTCACCATAGAGCCTGGAGGGGAGCGGCCGCATGGGTGTTAGATTGACCAGGTTTGCTAGTTTTAAATTCCAGAAAAACGGGACGTACTCTGAGATTTTACTTTATTAATATGCAAATGCTAACAAATTATTAATGCCTTTATAAAGGCAAATGGCAATCTAAATTTATCAGAGTAATATAATGGGGCTTTGGTGTGTGCTGGAAATGATTATTCTCTTATATAAATAAAGATGTGTTTTATAGCACAGGTGAGTTATGTTTGATAAGAGATGAGTCTGCCACCTTCATAATTATTAGGTATTGCCATTGTTATGAAACTAATAAACAAGACAAAATGACTGAGGAGGGTAGATTATGGAAAACATTAACAGCCAAAACAAAACAAAGAAGCAAAACACCAAAGCACACAAAAACAGAGAAAAAAGATAAAACAAAAGAAAACAAACGAACAAACAAACAACAACAACAACAACAAAATCACATAAAACTAAAAAATACAAAGCAAAACAAACTGACTGAGGAGGGTAGAATGGAAAACATAGAACAGCCAAAAACAAAACAAAAAAACAATACAAACAATACAAAACACGAGACAAAATGAAAAAAGAAAAACAAGAAAAAACAAAGACAAAACAAACAAACAAACAGAATAAAGGCTTGAGTCAATGAATCACTGTTAAATTACATTAATAATTTATTAACTAAAACATTTAATAATTTTTGGTTCACTAATCCAAGCTGTTAGTTTTTTTCTTTCAGTAACATTTACTTTCATCCTCCATATAAACGTACACCCACCACCTGACTACACATCACGACCTCACTTCCTTTTGATTGCTCTGATGGGAAGGAACACACGCACCTGTGCATGGCCTGAGGTGAAGCAGCTGATATCGCACACAGAAACACGCAGCATGATCAAAGCAACCACACGGCTACATGCTGTTCTTCTTCTTTGGCACTTGTCAGATTTATGGCATGGATTTTTCTGATTGATGACAACCCAGCACAAACATCCTCTGGGAAGCTGATGTGAGATGGCACGACTATTGTTTAATGATCCGAGAGGAAAGTTAAGAGGGTTACATTGGTTACTGTAGCCTGGGTAATATATCTGGTTTTAAGTATGTTTCAAGATTTAATATCAAGCTAATTAGGTCTTGGTGACAGATTTATGACAAGTATTGTTACAGTTTGTCAATGATAAAATACTTTCTATCCCAGCCTAATATGCAGAAAAAGTAAAAACACTCCAAAAGAATAAGCACTGTAGTAGTGTAGTGCTTATAGCTTAAAAAAAATGCAGCTTTTAAAAAATACTACTAAATAAATAGTTATTTATAAAAAGAATAGATAAATAATAATAATAATAATTTATATTATAATATAATAAAAATATTATATTATAATATATAATATTATAATATGTGCAAATATAACGAATTTCAAAGCACTGATATAAAAAAAAATCTAAATACTTACTGCCCCTCAACTTAATATGTAGAAAAATTTAAAATGTTTGTCTCTTTTTTTTGGCAGCATTAAAAAATATTTACTACTAAAAACTACAGTTATTTATCAAATAAATAATAATATGTATTGTTTTTTATTATAAATAAAATCAAATTTTTTTTTTACTAATAATAATCAAAAATTGAGTTCTTTATAAAAATAATAATAAAAATTGTTATTATATTTATAGTTATTACTATTATTGAAAATCTGTGTGACTATATTTACAGTGTAAAGTAAATACTGCTTGTTGCATAAAACCCTTAAAAAATCTTATTATAATACCTGCAAATATAACAAAGGATTTAAAAGCACCAACATACATTTAGTTTGTTTCTCTTGTCTAAAAAAGAAAAGAAGAATTGGAAGCAGACACACACACACACACACACACAAAACTCTTCCTAGTAGTCTCTTTCTTTTAATTTCCAAAGAAACTGCATACGGCTTTGTTTCGCTAAAAAAAGTTGAGTCCCTCGAGACTGTCTCTCAGCAAAGCAAGACTGCATATAATGAATTGGATGTGCTGGCAGAGACAGAAGCGGGTACAGAGCTCCACATCAGAGAGGACGGCTCCTGCAGAATACCTGCACTACGCCTCAGCGCCTCCTGCCTCCTCCAGAGACGACATCCACTCTAACAACCAGCCACCTAAAACAGATTCCTGAAAATACCAAGCTTTCACTCTTCGCTGTATAATAATGCTGCCAGCTGCAAAACAATAACAATTCTCCGGCCAAAATAAATCCTGGATCATGTCCGCAAACCAAATGTTTTTATACAGCGTGGCTGAACCATGAAAATAACTTCCCACAAATTGTTGCTAATTTGGAGTTGGCAATCACGAACAGCAATGTTTGAAGCTAGAATACTATAGCTACTACAAATATGGGGCTAATACAGATTTTTTTTTTCCAGTAATGTCTATTTTTGACAATTGAAGCGTCTTTCCATTCCGATAATCCACTGTTAATATTCACAGCTCGGCTAAATGGAGTTACGCAGGACTGTAAAACTCATCCAACACCCTGCTGCCACTAAAGCTGATTTACACTGCCCTGAGCCCTCATCTGCATATTGTTAAGCATCGTAATCATTCCCCTTGACGAGTAGGCGGAGACGCCTGCCTCAGGACATGTGACCTCACACTCTGCAGTCGGTGCAAGGTTTTATGGGAGCAAAGTGGAGCAGGACAGTGAGCTCACTGCTCACATTACAACTCCAATAAAACACCCTCACTATTTCACAAACTCACAAGTTGTGTATGCAATAAATAATGAAACACAATAAAGGAAGATATGTTCCAGTGATCTTTATTTCACCTTAACTAAGCTGCCCAAAAGAAAGAACTGTTAAAACGGTTTTATTCTCTTCAGAAAGGACAAATCTCTGCCTTCGGGTCTGGCAGGAACCCGGCACTAGTGTAGTGTCAGTTTGGTGCTATTGTGGGCAAAAACAAAGAACACTGGTGGAAGAAAGCAGTGAAAGGAAGCTGTCAAGAGGGTTACAGGAGGACACTGACATCACTGAACAGCACTTGCTTTGTGTTTCACCAGATATCTCAGTCCAGAGAGATGTCAGAGACGACCAATACTACAGTGTTCAGGGGAAAATGCACCTCAGATGTCCAGTCTATCTATCTATCTATCTATCTATCTATCTATCTATCTATCTATCTATCTATCTATCTATCTATCTATCTCTCTGTCTGTCTGTCTGTCTGTCTGTCTGTCTATCTATGCACCCATGATAATGCATTCAAGTGCAATGATAATGCATACATCTCTGCCTGATTAGAGGAACACCACTGGCCCATTTTTCCTCAATCCTGTGGTAAATCGGAGAACGGAGGACTTTTAGTTTCTAACCCTGCAATGTCATACCCTTCACGTGTCCCCTATGACAGACGGCCCATAAAACCCTTTCAATAAGTTGTAAAATGGAAATGGTGCCTCCTGTCTTCAATGGGGAAATGGAGCCATGAACGTGAGATTTATTCAAAATCTTCATGGGAAAATGGAGGCCGTGAATGCTGTGCTTGAGTAAAATAATTTTTCTACTTCTTCATATATAGAAAAATATAGCAATATAACAACAATAATAATACTACTAATAATATAAAAATACAGTAAAAACAGTAATATTGTGAAATATTACTACAATTTCAAAGAACTGTTTTCTATTTTAAAATGTTTTAAAATATAATTTATTCCTGTGATGACAAAGCTGAATTTTCAGCAGCCATTGCTACAGTCTTCAGTGTCAGCTTTTATTTGAAAAATAAATATTTTGTAACATTATAATGTCTTTACTGTCACTTTGTTGCTAAACAAAGTACTAGTTTTAATAATAATAATAATAAAAACGTTATTGACTTTTGAACAGTTTTTATATATTATATCTTCCCACCATATATATCACTTCCCCCCGTGTGGCCTTGCTTTGAGTCTTTTAGTCTGTTTCTCCTCATAACGGGGATTAGAGTTTATCCCCAAATGCCTGAACAAACTGGATTTCAGTATGCCCATTTTCAGGTGAGATGGGAATAAACAACAAGCACCCACCACACACGTGAGCATAATGACAAACAATGCAGCTATTTGCAGACAAGCAGAGCAAAACAGTATTTTACCATGCTAGGGCAAACAAAGCCACCACAAGCGGTACACATGTGAATAAACCATGACCGGTTTCCATATAAACATCAGCAGTACAATCTCAAAGTGCCCGCTGGACTGAAATATGCTGCTTTTAGATTAGAGATCAGTACCTCTGTTTTATTGTCTTAACTTTATGCTGTACATGCTGTTGAACTGTAATTTGATATGTGGGTAGATCATATCGTTTGGTGTGTCTGACCAAATGGACTGCATTTTAATTAACTTTTTAAATAAAAAATTATATCGATTTTTGTCTCTACTGTCCATGCTGGGTTCAAACTGAGTCCTGAAATGATTTAAGAGAGATAGAAATCCCAGATTATGAGGACGATGGATGAGATAATGAGCAAATGACATGACCACCCCTTCATTGAAAGAACGCAATCTGCACCGGACATCTAACTGTGCACCAAACTGAATAGTTCAAAGGTTTAGCACTTTATGCTTTTTTCAAAGAACTTCAGAAGGAAGTTCTTTCAAAGGAAAAGTGAGAAATTAATCAAAAAATGCACGCTTACCCGTAACAGAGCTGTCTAGGTTGTCCATGCTGGAGCCTGGCGTGTGTTCGATGCCCCTAATTGGTGGCGACATCTCATATCCTTCATCCTCCTCCTCATCGTCGTCTTCGTCAGGAAGGTCTGTCTCAATATCGGACACTAGGGTGCTGGAGATGTAACCCACAGGCGGCGTGGGGGCCTGGGGCGCGTAAGGCCCACCCTGCATGTGCCTACAGAGAATTCAAGAAGTCAAACATGAACATTCCATGCTTTTTTTGCATAACCAGGCAAGAGCTTCAAGGGTTGTCAGCGGGAGACAAAGGGTGTCAATGAGCGACAAGCTTAGACAAAAGAGAAATGCGTGGCGTGTGCTGTCTGTCAGGTGAAATTTGGTATTCCTAGAACATTCCTTGTCATCACTCTGATGAATTGGAACAATTCGGCTAATTCAGCAGCACCATGGTCTGCATGCTAACACAATGACCTACTAATTGCAGCTTGAAGAGGATACAATGGCAACCACCACAGGCATGTCTTTGCTGTGGCTGTCACCCACTAGACAGCTAGATTCTATGACAGCCCTACTGTGTGTCTATATATATGTGTATCGGTTTGTGTTTGTGCAGTGCTGCTGCTGCTTTGATGCGGTCTGTGCCAGGATTTGGATATAATTATGGGCTCTTCCCAGTAGTCACAAACATTCTATGAGCAACATAGTCATTATGGTGGTAACATGACATCTTCCTCCTGACAAGTGGAGGCCGTTCCCTTCACAGTGCCGACTGTAATAAGCGGAAGTTGGCTTATCTTGGATATATATATAGCATGGGGGCTTTATAAGAATGCGTTACACAGTCTGGGAGGGGGGGGTGACTATCAGTTTTTTACATATTTAATTCAGCTACATTCACTTTTTTCATTTAAATTATGCTTTTATTGAAAATGACTAACAAATGCGGTCCAATAAAAACACATTTTATAAAATTCAGTTTAATTCAGTTTCTGCTGGTAAAAAGTAAGCCAGTTAATTCAATTCAATTCAAATGTATTTGTATAGCGCTTTTCACAATACACACTCAAGTAAAAGAAAAAAACAACTCTTTGAATCTTCAATGTTAAATAGTCATTTTTATATTTCACAATTGCATTTAGTGCCTCTAGTGCCCAAACCTTTTACTACAAAGGGCCAAAAAGCAATCTTGGAATGTGAGTGTTGCATTATACCCTAGTATATTAAACACATTTTTAAAAATCAAATTCACCTATATTATCTACATTTTAGTGTAATGAGTTCTTACCAAGTCTGTTTAGCCATGTCCAACTGGTAAGCGCGGGTTAGCTCATCTAGGTGGGTTTGGAGCATGGGCTGTATTTCTTCACGTGGGGATGGGCTCAGTATGGCTGTGGACTGTTTGCCAAAGGAAACTGCTGCAGGGGAGGAGGCCACGCCCCTTATGGGAGGAGTGGGCACCCGTTCTTCCTCTTCCTCCAACTCATCCTCTAAACCCTGATGGAGGTATGTCTGCACTGGCAAGGGTGGGCCCCAACCATCACTATCATATCTGGAACAAATGAGCATTGAAACAAAATGAAAATTGACCACAGACAGGTCCCTGTGGCACACCACCAATACTTGTGTGTTAGGTATGAGAAAAAGGAATCTTATTTATTTATTTTTTTTAAATGTTAGTCTAGCTAACAGTTATGGATATAGTGAGACTCATGTTTAGCAACATAGTGGTAATGGTGTAAATCTTGGGTTAAATGCAAAAAATCTTGATGGATTTTGCAGCTTAACTGGTTCTTTAATACAGGCTGATCTGGCAGAACGGCTGCATTTTTTTTTATTTCCCAGAACTGTATACATGCTAAAATAATACATTTCATAAAGCCAGCGTTCATTAGAGGAATTTGTCAGTGCACATCCCGTAGGACATAACAGTTTTAATCTGAAGCCATTAAAGACAGTGGCGAGATTTACAGCGTAGAAGACTACTCATTTGCCAGAGAGCATATTAAGCCCAATGACTCTCCGAGATGGAAATTAACAGGGTTGAAAGGCAAGCACACCTCTCCAGCAGGATATTTAATTTGTATCACCACCCTCATGTTTTCTTTTAACTATACAGATGGGGCGACGCTGATGTCAGACAAGAGTGGAGTGCCATCGAAGGCGAAAGCACATTAAAAGTTGCTGAGCGTGAACAGCTTGTCATAGAGGGTTTTAATATTACATATTGTCTATTTATAATGGACAATAAATAAATAATTTAGTGCTAGTGGTCTGATTAACTCTCTAAGGAACAAATAAATACCATTAGCAGATATAATATATTAGCTAGCAAGAACAAGACTTTGAACAATTTCTTACGAACATCACGGACGGTTTTATTTTAAACCACCATTTTTATCACTTGATGGGAAAAATCCAATGCTTAATTACATGGATCATAATCTCTAGATATTATAGATATGACCATTGAATTTGCAGTGTAGATTGTCACTACTACTTGTACTGAGTAGAGTTGAATGAGCGACTCTGAACCCTACCCTCCTCCGTCATGGTGCTCTGAGGCATAGTAGTCCATCTCTGTGCCTGGAAGAGGGTGGACAGGAGGGGGAGGGAGTGGAACATTAGCCCAGTTGAAGCCATTCATCTTGGTGGGCTTGGCGTTTGTTTTGGTCTTCTTCTTCTTTCCACCTTTCCCACCTACAATACCAAAAGTTGGGGATACTTGTTAGAGCTTGAATGCCGAATGATGTCACATGATTAGACAATTTCCATGTTTTCACCTTAAAAATAAAATCGATTTATTCCCCCCATGACATGTGCTTGAAATTATCTATGCTAAGTGAAGGCTCTTGCAGTGCCACTGCCAAATGCAAATGCTTGTATGTTAGAATGTACAACTCCTCTGGACACAACTGCTTTCAAAATGTTCCCAAGCCAAAACGGCCATAAAAGCAATCTCAAGGCTGCGTGGTGAAAGAAACAGTTTGCAGCATGTCAATGGCTCAAAGACTGAAGACTCAAAAAAATTACTGAAAAAACCTTTGACCTCCTTTTAACTACGATTGCTATTCATGCAACTTGCTGGAATATTTGTTTACAATTCTATTCTAAGAATATGCACTTAATTTTCTTCACTCTAAGAAAAAGTATTAGGAAAGTAACAGAATGTGTCAAAGATGGAAAGAAAAAAGCCTTTTGAACTTGAATATTATGCATCCACAATCTCCCTGGACAAAAGATTTGGCAAATTATGCACTTGCCCAAGAACTAGTACGAAGGATAGTAATTAATCACCCTTCTGTCACAATCTAATTAACAAAACCATCTAAATGTAATGGCCATCAATGCCAGATTAAGACATTTGGGACGAGGACGTGATGTGTGTCCTCCACAGACTGCATGCAGAGGCGGCAGGATTCATTACTGTAAATTATTAATGCCGCCGCTCGCAAACTCGACATGACCAGTGCATTGCCGCATGTTGCCAGATCCTCCCGCGTTTCAAGCCAGGCATAAAATAGCTGAGGCTGATGGAGTCAGACACATGGCCAAATGCAAACAGGGGGGAAAACCTTCACTGGCAGCACTTGTGCTGTATGGGATCCTATCTGTCATCATCTGACTCTGTCTGCCAATGGCCTCTAATCGTCCCTGCCGCCTCAAAATGTTCCGATTCAGGCAACCCTGTGGCTTCAAACCTCATGTTATTAATATGATGCCAGGACTCTGACAGGGCTATACATTAAATCCAAAAAAGCTCTTTATAAAAGCCATGTTGAATCATATTCAAGGGCTAAGAATAGACTATCTTCCCTGGATCTTAAAGGAACATTCCACCCAAAAATGAAAATTATGTTCCAAAACCATATGACTTTCTTTCTTCCGTGAAAACCAAATAAAGACATTTGAAGAACTGTGCTGGTCAATGAGTTCAATTAAAGACTGAGGCTGTTACGCTTTAAAAAAGATGCAAATTCAACATAAAAGTGGTCCCCATGACTAGTAATTTTAGATTTTATAGTATTTTACGTTTAGTTTGTGTTAAAAACAGTTCCAAATTTAAGTAATTTGCTGGCAAAAATAACTAGTTCTTCTTTGTGCATTAGGGAAAGTTCATGAGACGCATTCTTTTGAATCTTTTCAAACAACTGGTGTTTTCAGTTCAAAAACCCAGTTCAGGCCAGCATATGTGAACTGGTTCGATAAATTGATTAATGGTTGATCAAGTTCACAAAACCGTGTCTAAATGAATTGGTCACAAAACAGACTGATTTGGCTCTTGAGTTCAATTTATTGGACAATGGCTCAATCAGTGTTGTTATTGTTACCTAAAAGTATAAGTATAAATAAAAACAAAAAAATAATAAAATGACAAAAGAACATGAAAACACTAAAACAAACTAAAATTAAAATGAAAACTGAAAAAAAAAAAAAAAAAATGTAATTCAAACTATTAATACATACTATGATAGTATATAAATAATACTAAAGAAACTGATTGTTGAATAAATGCGTGTTCCACATAAAAAGTTATCATATGGCTTCAGAAGTATAGTATATATACTTGAAATATAGTCATATGGACCACTTTATGATGTTTTTTTGTCCTTGAAAACCTCTGTTTAAATTCATCGTACAATACCTAGAGAGCAACCAGTAATAAAAAATAAAAAGAGAGAGAGTGAGAGTGAGTGTTTTCAAAATATTCATTTTTGGTTGCACTGTTCCTTTAAGAAAAGCAAAAACAAGTGTGAAAGAATGAGCACAAGAGAATGAGTACTGTAGCTATGCACAGTTTAAGGCAGATTTGTCATACGATGGCTGACGTTTATGATACTCTCGGCAGCCGGCCTATTAGAGAGCGTTCTCATCACCAGAACTTCTCGCTGACGGTGCGCTATTGTTCCGACGGCCGAGGGAGAGCGGGAGGCATTAGGAGTCTTGCGGAGGGATGGAAGTGTCAAACGAAGATGAATAAAGTATAGTAGTAATAAAAAAATAACAACAGGCTAGAGGCAGAAGTGGCTGGAGTGGGGAGAAGTAATTGGGTTTCCTAATCGTTTCTCTGGGTGACGCGTGGCGTCAGCCAATAAATGGAGAGATGGCGTGATCACTCAATCACTCCCTCACTTTCTCTCTCTTTCCTCCTTTCTTTCTCCCTCTGTTTGTCGAGTAGAGGGCATAAATAATGTAAACGAGTCTCTGCTGAGGAGTCGGGCAGCTCCTGAAATTACCAACGTAAGAAATGTGAGGAAAACAGAGAAGAACGGCACCGTGGGATGGCAGAGACTCGACTGACAAACATGAGGTCATTTTCTGAATTAGGCCAAAGCAGGCCGGCGAAGAGGCAAAGGAACTTGGCTGTGTTTCATAACTTATAAAGTTTCACACCGTTAACACATCAATGAGAACTTGCTCAACTCTGACCTGTTCTATCTTGTACAATGAATTATGATCTAATTGCATGTTACGGTGGGGAAAAGAAGTAATAACAGTATTTGAAAATAATGAGCTTTTAATGGGGCAGTACAAAGACTTTACGGGCTTTTGTATTACAGGGAATGCATGTGTTTCTGATAAGGAAAAGACCGCTTTTTCGTTTTTCAAAGCAAGGCTGTGAATTTTGGCTCAAAACACGTGCAAAACAGCAAACAAATGGGTGAAATACGTTTTAATGTTTACACTCTCTTTAAACACATTTAAATTAAGGTGACATGATCTCGGATATAAAGTGAAATGCTGATTTGTCAAAAAATAATATCAAGCACTGAACAGATTCACTGCATGAGATCAATACTGAAAGTACAATTATTTCAGAATTATTTGGAACAGTAGGCCAAAGTGACTCATAGCAAACAAAAAGTATATACAGTATGTTTGCTTAGAAACAATCAAATTATAATACATATTTTTTGTCTTCAACAATGCATACTTCAAATGCAATCTCTGTCATTTATTTACAATACAGTAAGTGAATTTATTTCTTTGCAAAACTATCTTGAGATGGAAAAAAAGAATAAAGTAAAAAAAGAAATACAACTGTTTTTAACAATGATAATAAGACATGTTTCTTCTATATATATTAAATTTAATTCTCTCTCTCTACATATATAATTAAATTAAATTGTAATATTTTACATAATTACTTGTTTTAATGTATTTTGACATTTAAATGGTAGTGTATATTTCCAAAATTTGTATCATTTGAATGCTGAATAAAAAAACATGAAAGCAGTTTTCATGTTAATGAGTTTGCTACATATAGAGCACACATGCGATATCTCATATCATTACAGCCCTTAAAATGCTGTACAAAGGTTAAACCAGATCAGATTGATTTGATTTGGTCAACTGATCTCTATCTTCTAAACAATCCCTGCCTGAAGAGGTTGAGATGTTTGACCTAAATCTACCCTTGGAGTCCTAATTGTAGCCCATGAAACACTTGAGCCAGATGCTTGGAGAGCTTCCCATCTAATGTCTAAGGCTGCGTTGGATTACTGCACAGTTAAAGCACTGGCATGAAACTTGATTAGAGAGGAGAAAGAGCCACATGGACAGCGAGATGAGAGGATGGGGGCCGTCTCAGCATCCTATAAATGACATTGTAATTTTCAGTACATTAATTTGATTGTAGCTTGTAACCATTAAAGGGAGGAATCGGCTCAAATCAAGCTGCTCGAGTGCATGTGTGCATGTCCGAGTGTTTTCTTTTAAGTTGCAACAGTAACCAATGACAAAACAAACCTATGCTTAAATCAAAAACACACTAGCATTGTTAACACAAGGATAATGACAATGTCAAAAAGATGCTTTGCTGGATTTACAGCGTGTGCAACAGGTCAAATGGAGCCAGAAGATAAAGGTTGAATGGATTGTGTCATGCTCCATTTCCCCTTCACATGTGAAAAGTGTTGTGAGGAACCAAAATGTGAAAGGAGCAGACCAGAACCTCTTGATTTTAAACTTTGCCTTTTAACCCTCTGGTGCTCTTCGGTCATTTTTGATTGGAAAAATGTACTTTATTTTTTTTTCCTTCATCGGAATGGTACGAATTTTGGTAAAGGTTTTGGCATTGCTATGTGAAAACAAAAAATCATGGGCATGATTTAATGGTCCTGAAAAAAACCACACTTGTACTGTTCACGGTCAAAAATGCCAGCACTGGAAATGAATGGAAAGCAAATTTCATCTAGTGGAATCATTTGGTACTGCGGTCAATCAAAATGAAAACTCATTTTTTTTTTATATCAACCTCAAATTTGGAACACAACTTGTATAAATTTATGGCTTTGATTTACACACAGTTTTAGAGTGAAAAACATATTTCATACAAAATGTAAAAATGGTTTGTTAATTTTTCATTAAATTTTTCGTTTAACTTTTTTTTTTTTTACTTTTTCACTTCAGCAATAATCTGCCAAGTGTCTTCTTTAAAGAGTTTAAACTTAAGCATTTAAGATGAACAACAGTTTTAAGTTTGAGTTCTATGCTTAAAAAGTGGTTAACAGGGAGTAAATGTATCATAACTATTCCATAAATATAATTTAGTACCATAAATATTGCCATGCGAGCAGCATCAGAGAGTTAAAGAATTAATTTATGGAATCAAAACATCATTATGAAAGCTCAATGCTCTGAATCACCTAATATCTATCTTACTACTAGAAACCTGTTGGTTTATATAAATTGGCTTTTGATTTTTTTTTATAAAAACAGGACTTTCCTATCCAGGCCATCACACGATGGCTGCAGATCCAATTGACACGACAACTATGAGGAACACAGTTATTAAACAAACCCATACTATTGACAATACAGAGCAGGAGTCATGGCGTGTGCACCACGGTTAGTGGAGGTGAAAGGGGGGAGGGGTAGACTGAAGGAAAGATGCGGGTGGGCTGCTGACCCCTGGACCGGTGAAATACCAACCTGACAGACTGTTGCTCCGATCTGAGCTGTTGTGGGAGCTGGTGGTGCTGAAATCCTGTGATTGGTTGTGCGGCATTCTATTACACAATCCGTCAGCCAATCGGTAGTCAGGAATGAAAAGGAGTGCTAGTGGAGGCGAAGGGCAAAAAAGTGGCATCAGGTGGAGGGCAAGATGGCACAAGCGCATGCAAGGGCGTGCAGTTAGAGCAACAAGCAAAGCATTCATCTCACACACAACTCCTATTTAAAATTACTATTCTTTCTAATCTAACAATGACTTTTAATACTTTTCGATTTGTTCTCAAACCAAGCGAGTGAAGGCATTATTAGCATAGGTTGTTCAATAATGTATATTGGAGAGTTTATATACAATTCTATAAAATTAATATAATATAATATAATATAATATATACAAGTTGCTGCCTTGATAAAGTGTTCTACATTATTCACTTACGATGATTTCTTTCTTTCTGCATTCATTTATTTCTGTATTTATTTCTTTATTTTGGTTAGGATGCTGCATATTTAGGTAGCAGACAACATGGCATCTCACTAGGCTCTGGAACAGAGCCCTAATTGCTTTAAAATCTCTCAATTTGTCTAGTTTCTTTGGAAAGTGTCTCATTCAGAGGTTAACAACATGACATTAGTGCTAATTTTCCTAGAATTAATTTTATTTGTTGGCAAGTTAACCAGTTCATGGAAAAATTTATACTTGTGATTTACAGTAATTTCATAGTTAGAGGTTTATTCAAGTCCAAATGAAAGTGGAAATGGTTTTTAATAGCGTTAAGGAACATCTCAATTTATCATTCTGTTCAACTGTGGAGAATAAGTTCATTAATATAGATAGTAGTACTTGTTTTACTTAAAAGAAAGCAGAGTGCATTTGTCTAAAAGCTTTTCAAAATAGAATAAATCTTGGCTATTGATGTTTCATTCTTTTAGCCCAAAGAAAATTTAAATAATAAATGCGGTTGGTCGAAAACACATTCAAGGGTCATGGATTTTGTTATGGGCCAATGATACACATTCTTATTGTTCCTGAATGTCAGAACAATGCAACATTACTACAACAATGGTCAAATTAACATTGATACAACCTCAGCCAATATCCAGAAATAGAGCAACTGGCATTGTTTCAAAAGATTTTGGACGCGAAAAACACACAAACAAGCTCACACACACACACACACACACACACACACACACACACACACA